CATCACATGTCCTTGCTCTCCACAGTTCCAACAACCTTTCTGGGTAGCAGTATTTCCTGTGTTTAAGTTTCCAGCACTGAGCTTTCTTGTGCCCTGGTTTGTTACAGTGTCAGCAAAGTCCCTCAAACTTCTTTGAAAGCTACCCTTTTCTGGCCTTGAATCCTGATGACTGTACCAACCTTGGTACCTCTGTGCTGTACTTAACGTAGAATTCAAATTCAAGAGCTCTGGCCATTGCATCCTGCATAGTAGAGGGGAGTGCTTGCTTTACTTTTATCTTCAGTTGTGGACTGTCCAAAGCATCTACAAACTGATCCCTAAGCAACAACTTGAGGAGATCGGGTGGTGCAGTTTGGTAGTCCTTGCGTGCCATACTTTCCAAGTCCTGTGCCAGCTCTTGAAGGCTCTCCCCTTTAGCACGGACTCTTGTCCTAAACCTAGCCCTGTAGACTTCGAAGTGATTAAGTTGATGGTTAATGTATCCTCCTTGTGAATAAATCATCCTTTAATGTATTTAATTTACTTTGAAATTTACTAATGTCTTCCATTTGTACTTGTCGCCATTGTTGTTGACTTTCCTGTAACTGTTGGAGACTTTCTTCCTGTTTCTTTTCTTGTTTATTTTGCTGTTCTTGTATTACTGCCATCAAATCTGCTAAGCTGTAGTTTGATTTGCCACCTCTGGTTTCCATCTTCTTCTTCTTTTCTTTCCCGTCCCACTCTCTGTCATCAATTTGTTACGCCTCCGTTTGTTTGTTAATTTTCCATAAAAATTCTTTCCGAAGAAACTTCAAAGATAAAAGTCCTTTCCTCAGTAAACCTAGTTTATTCTTTCTCGTTACAAACTTTGTAATACACTTAATTTCCACAGTCACTTTAACTTATTAAACACACGCTATAATTCACAACAATTCACACGCTTTACTTACGGTGCGTACTGCCCACTTGACTCAACTATCCGTGTTTATATCTTCAATCTCTCTATCTGCAATCCCAATTCCGATTAATTTTCTCGCTTTATTTGCCACATTTATATACAATAAAAGCATGCGTCTAGCAAACGCTAGGATGTTTGACAGGTTCCTCGATCTTTCTAGAACTCCAGCTCATGCTCCCAGCATCGAGCAACTTTTGCTGTCGTGACAATATATTTGAAAATATTGTGGAAAAACTCAATAAATTATAAGTAAATTAAATAAAAGCTAAACTATCTCAAATTTGTTGTGACTATTTTGAAATTAGGGGCAAGGGATGGAGTGTTCAAGATTTTTCAGTTTGGAAATCTAGTCACCTTAGTAAAAGCCAGCTCTCATAGATGGTGAATATTGGATAGTAAGAAGAGGATGAAAAAACATAGGGATTACCTCTTCTCCATAAAGGCAAGAAACTAAACTTAGCAGAGAGGACTTCTGATGAGATAATTCAGCTCATAATTCATAAATATAAAAAACACCCCCAAGAAAACCTCATCACAAAGAAAGGGTGTAACACAGAGGTTCCAGAAGATTAAGGGAGGTGAACGTCAGAAATTAAGACATCAAGATGAAGTATCTCCAAGATATATAGAAGATGAATTACTTAGGACACAATTGCAGAAAGAAAAAAAAAAAAAATCGAGGGCAAGGTGGAAAAACAGGTATGTGCAAGTTTCTCTTGTAAAGATGACAGGGTCACGAGTTAAGGCTATGAAAAGCATGTGAAGCATGGGGACGAAGAAGTTGAGTGAGCAAGAGATGAAAAACAAGAGTGAAAAAGAGAAAAAGAAAGACAAGATTTCCAAGCTGAAAGAAGAGAATCAAGTAATGGAGACTCGTGCAACAAGTTAGGCCAAGATTTAGCAAAAATAAATGCAAAAAAGGAAAGACAGAAGACACATATCTGTGTAATCCAAGCAATGAAGGTCAAAGGTTGGATTTTCTCATCCTTGTTGGGAAGATGGAACAAGAAGCAATAGCAGGTGTGGAAAAAACATTAAGGTAACTCACATCAAGAGAAAAGAAGCAGACTCAACTGAAATAACAGAAGCAGGAGATTGGGATTTTTAGATCTAAGTTCAAAATGAAACCAACATAATAACAGTATTATATCTGACCATAAATGTGTCTCAGTTATCAATAAAGTATAGGATGATTCCTTTTGAGGAATGTCAGAACCTTGGGATGTCAGAAATGTGGAAACATAAAAGCATATTACAGATGATCCACAAAACATTTTTTTTTCAGAAATAAAAATTAGCCTGATGGTGCATAGGCCTAGGTCACTGGCCTAATGATGACACTGAAAAATACTTAATGAAGCTCGTACACTGAATTAAGACAAGAATTAGTGCTGTAATAAAAACTTACAATGGGACATGTGTCCCAAAATTAAAAATCTGATTAAAAAATGAAATAAAACTGAAGATAATTCGAATCATTGTTGTAACTGAAATGTTTAACATTTGATATCTGTCATAATAAAAAAAACAAGAATGATAAATTACACTATGTATGGTAACAAATGTCTAAAATAATAAGTACAAAAATGCCATTAATTCCTAAGAAAAACACATCTGAATAAAGCAGTGCTGAGGAAGGACCCAGTCTTTGTGAAAATGTTAGTGTTTATGGGAATTATTGTACATGGAGGATGTGTCACTTTCCTAATGGTGGAGGGCTGATTACATCATAGACTGGCACATAGGATGTTAATATGTGTAGGGGTGGAAACTTCATTCAAGGCTTATGGAGTGTGTAAAAATTTTCAAGGAACTGGTGCAAGGTAATAGTTATTTTCTGTGAAGAAAGGTGAGTAAGTGTTTATAAAAAGAAAGATTGTAACATATATGATTGTTGGATACTACTTCAGTCACTAAAATGGTTGAAAATTTGAAATACAGTTCTACATTACAGCTTCCTGTAATTCTTTATAACAAATTATTTCAAATGTAATTGAAATTGTTTTAACAACTAAAAACTATCTCCTAAAAAGAATATTCCTTACTTATACAATGCTACATTCTTTATTGGTTATGATCTTTTATACTGGATTAGAATATTTCAAAGAAAAAAGCTACTTATTTGTATTTAGTACAAAGCTGGCTGATTTAATCAATTAATCAAAATTAATGTTTCCAAATATTACAACAATCGAGTAATCTAAACTAGGATTAAATCCACTGTCATAAAGTTAATCAACTAATCAGTATTAGGGTTTTTGATTATTACTATTTTAGATTATTTCAATTATTCAACAAGTAACTGAAATATTGCCAACAAACTTGCTCACCCTATCTTTCTTATGCCACTGTCACTAATTTGAAACCGCTGACTAGAGTAAAGGTGTTGCCAACCTTTTTCTTTTTGTTGTTGTAATGCTAACTACAGGGAAGGCAACTGGCTAGCACCACCCTACACCAACTTTTTTTTTGCCTGTAAGTACCACTAATTGGATAATCAAAATTAACTGATTACTGGGGCCACCAACTGATTGATTGGCAAATACCACTAACAGCCCAGCTATAATTTAGTACATAAACAATGAATTTGAAATAAAATGAAATCACTATCTTTTATTATTTCTTTACATTTTCAGTATTTACATGAACCTCCCTTTGCTTGAATAACAGTTTGCAATCTTCTTGCCATTATACACACCAACTTCTTTCAAATGTCTGATTAAATGCTGTTTCCTATTTCCTGTACATTTTTTCATAATTCATCCTTAGATTTAACATATATTACCTTCACTCTAGAACCTAGTTCATTTCACAACTACTCAATAGGATTCAGATATCGTGGCTTCGAGGATCATTCTTTCAACCAATCCATTTTCTTTTATATAATACCATATTTAAGGAGAACAGGAGGTCTATTAGTCCATAAAGTCTGTTCCATCCAAAAAAAAAAACTCACACTCCAGGTCTGATCATTTAAATATTCATGAAGTTTTCCTTAAACTCCTTTAAATACTGCATCTACCATATCTGGAAACAATCCATTCCAAAGACCAACCACCCTGTTAGAAATGCAAACTGTGTAAGCTGAAGATGATGCCTACTCTATAAAAATCAATATATTTGTGCCTCCCTTGTCCTACCATTTTCACCATTAAATATAAACAAATATGCATTGATACCATTTATTTCCTTAATAATCCTAAGCATCTCAATCAAATTCCCTTTAGTTCAAAAGAAAACAATTTCAGAGACTTTAACCTGTCCTCATATGACAAACAATCAACACAACGTATATAGACCATATATTATACTTATTACTTCCAGGGCTATACAAATTAAGTTTTTGTTAAACCTTACCACTTAAAGTTCGAAGTTGTTGTGTCAAGCATTTTAAAACTATTTACTATAAATTAAAAAGTTAAAATTAACAATTGAACATAATTGATTTTCATTTATCAATTTATTTTTCATCTCTTTATTTGTCAGTATTTCAAAAATGAAAGGGTTTACAACATCAATTACATCTAGTTTTAACATTTTTTTCTTCAAAAAGCATGAATTTTATTGAAAAGGTAAGTATATAAGAAAACAAACAAGGAAGTGTTTATGAAAACAAAATGAGTTAGCATAATGAATAAATAATACCTCTCGATCTCCAAATTGTGGTTTGCGTTTAGTTGCATCAATTATAATGGCTCCATCTGCTGTCAAACTAGTTGCCATGGAGTTTGGGATGCTCTGTGTTATCACAATATGCCCTGTGAGGGGACATTCTCTCTCAGGTGATAGTGCTGGTACATTATGCTTAAAAGAAAAACACAATTAGGCCTACTAGCAATATTTACTGTTAAAACATTAATACACAGTTCTTGCTGTCTTGAAACTTGTTGCTAAAATTACAGGTGTGATGCTTTTTCAAATGGCCTGTCTCAAGCATATAATCAACATACATCAGTGTCTTCATTATTTGCAAAGCTACTTAACACGAATAACACATGCTGATATTTAGTAATCAATTTTTGGAACATAAAAAGTAAAATATTTGCTATTTGAGGTAAATAAATAAACTAACTATAAGGGCCAACTAGTACTGAAATGGATTGTGTCTGATGTTAAGCCTAATGAGCAACTACAACTGTTTCTTTTTTTTTTAGTTTAACACTTTAAAAAAATGTGGGTAAATGTCCTTTAGCTATATTATTATCATAGTATTGCAAATGTCTAGTTTTCCATTGAAACAATGAAATCATACTTCATTCTCCTATTTATGCTTTATGTCATAATATTAAACATGTTACATAATAAAACCAATATTATAAGTTAAAACTAAGGTTTTGAGATATTTCCATTTTATTATAGTGCTTGTTTGTTAATTTCCCGTAGAAATTCTTTCAGAGAAACTTCAGTGATACAAGTCCTTTCTTAATTAAAACTAGTTTAGTCTTTCTCAATACAACTTTGCAATACACAGAATTTCCACAGTCACTTTAAACTTGACTACTTTTATGAACCCACGCTATAAATCACAGTGATTCATACACTTTACTTATGGCTTGAATCGATTATCTCTATCTTCAATCTCTCTATCTATTCCCTTCTGCTTTATTTTAATTTCTTAATTCAAACAAAAATATTTAAAAAATGCTCAATATTCATTCTTGTGTGGCACATACATGTTTGGGATCTGAAATGCCCATTATACAAGTTCTTTCCAGCCACTGAATTGTCTTCTGAGTTTAAAATAACTGTTGCTTAGATGTTGCTAAAATAAGATGTAGTTTTATAGCCTCCAATCATTTTTCTTTATGGAGATGTAAACAGGAAGTGAAACCCATTTGCCTTGCCCTCCTATCACACCCTCTCTTTCACAAAATATCAATAATTCTCTCTGATGTTTAATCTTGGATTATATATAACTAGTAACAAGAGGAGATTTTAATTTACTTAATTAGTTATAATACTTATTCCCATGCAATTTGAATTTGATATTGTTCCATTAATTTCAAATTTTCTTAGATTTGAACATCACAAAGACAATTTGTGGCTTGGCAGCTTGAAATATTGAACAAGTTATTGTTCATTTTTGGATTCTCAGTTCAGTATGATGTAAACAAAATACTAACAACAAGTTAGTGATGAGCTTTTGATATTTGATAATCATGGATAATGTCCAAGTAAAGCATGCAAGAAAAGAGAACTAAGCTAAGATGCCTGGTTTGCAAAAAAATTTTTGATGATGATTATCTGCAACAACACAAATGAAAGTACTATGAAGACCCTGGCAAATTAATTTGTACTGGCAGAGAAATAAAAAAAGGTAAGCAACAAATATAAAACTGCAATCAACAGTCAATGTAAAATCTTAGCTAATAAACATAACCCGTTGACCCTGTTTATATCCAACTCAAAATATATTGATAAATGGGCAAAATAGCAAAAACACATATTCTTCCCTGATGAAACGAAAAAAAGAGGCCAGACTGTGTGAAAGTCAGAATGCTAGTCAGCTTAAGTTATTAAACAAAACACAAGATAAAGTTGAAGAGCTTTCCTTTAAAAGTTATGACTACACAGTACACATCTTTAATGTCAGAAAGGTTCAATTGTACAGAAGCAGCATTACATAAATGCCATGCTGGGCATATTATTCTAACACAGTTACCGAGCCAGTTGCAAGGCAAGCTCTATCATTTTTAATGTTCTATAGAAGGCTTTTCATATTTTATACCATTGGTACAGGAATCAATTGAACACATGACTGTAGATAACCAGTAAAGTCTATAAAACTTCTCCAAAACATGGTGGGTAGCTCATTTAGAGTCAACAGTCAGCCTGGCCAAGTTGGAAAAATCAGAGGATGCTAAGATAAAAATCTTTGCCTCCGTTTTGTGGATGAGGTTAACAAGTTTTTACTTCACACCATCAATCATGTTCATGTAGAACATCACGTACAAAATCAAGAGGATGACAGAGGTTCTCTAGTGTGAAGATCTAACATTATCAATGAGATAATTGTCCTGGAGACAACCAGAGAAAGTCTTGAAAATGTCAACAATAAAATTGATAAAATGAATACAGAAATTCAAGTTACTGCTATATTTGCAAAGAATATTGATGTAGATGTTTCCAGTGATTTTTGTCAACAACAGAAAACCCCCAAAAAAGAACAGATGAAATCCAAACAGAAACCTTCTATAGTAAAGAATTAAAAACAATTTTAGACATACAAATTAACACATTCGCATATATCCACAAGAACTGTGTTTCAACTATTAAACCCCTAATTGATGCCTTGCATCCCAGCAGCTTTTAACGCTCTCACAGTATTTTGTCCTGAGAATAAAAGACCAGACCCCAATACTTTCATTAAGAAATAGATACCTTCAAATTGCAAATGACAATTATCAGCAAATATGTTAAAGATATCTTAAATTCTGCTGAGATCTTCCTTTTCACTAATGGGGCTTTTCACCTTGCTCAAGTAACTGTGGCCAAAGATGAAAGAACATGCAATAAATTGCAGCTTGTTAAAAACTTGTGAAGCTCAATTATGAACAAACAAAGATTAAAGGAACTTCTATTGATGGCTTTTGAAAAAAATGTCACAGATGAAACACCTTTAGATGAGCTAGCTACAATGTGGGCTGGTCTAAAACTAAGGTATATTGCTATATCACACTAAACAACTGAACATATCACTTACATGGTAAATAGTTATATATTATAATTTACCATGCACATATATGATATAGTTTCTTTGTCAGGTTTTTATGTATTTGTGGATTCTTTAGAGTAGGTGTCTGTGACTTGTTGGCGATAAATTCAATAATAAACAAACAGCACTGAGTCCACTTGTTAAATAAATAATATATCAAAACAATTCAAACACATATACAAATGTTTCTTAGATGGGTAATTATTACAGTTGTATCCAGAGCTTTAAATAATTGTCTTATTTTATCAAAGTCCACACAGGCTGATTCATTTACTTTAGAACACAAATGACAAAATGAATCATTCTTCTTTGCTCTGTTGTTACAAAACAATCTGTGATAAGTTCACTTACATTACATTGTTGGTTACCACTGTTGTATCCTGAGACTTATGTAATTGTCTGTTTTCATCAAAAGTCCATAAGGGTTTATTTAATTACTTTAGAACACAACTTACAAGATAGATTATTCTATTACGTATCTGCTTGTTTGATAATTTCCCATAAAAATTCTTTCCGAGAAACTTCAGCGATACAAGTCCTTTCTTAATTAAACTAGTTTATTCTTTCTCATTACAAACTTTGTAATACACTTAATTTCCACAGTCACTTTAAACATAACTACTTTTATAAACACACGTTATAATTCACAGCGATCCACACACTTTACTTACGGTGCCTACTGCTCGCTTGACTCGATTCCCTCCCTTCAATCTATCAACGTCTTATATACTAAAAAAGAGGGCATCTAGCAAACATTGGGACATTTGTGAGGTGGCCCACTAAGTCACGATCTTTCTAGAAACTCCAGTGCGCATTCTCCCAGTGTCGCGTGACTTCCGCTGTTGCAACACTGCCCATTCTTTAGTTTTGTTCATCCCCAACAATAGCCACTTACATTAAACCAATAGATAATTAACAATAACTTAAATAAATGTACAGAATTTACAAACAAAATTAAAATTCAACAAATTCTTAATTTTACAGGACATATCTTCTTCCATACTGGTCTCCGTCTCATTCTGCTTCACTTGGGTTCATCTGCTCCATCAGAAAATGTCCTATTATCAGTAACAGTCACATCAGTGGTAGTAACCTCATTAAGGGCTTCACTGTTTCCCTTCTCAAAACCTGGTAGAGTCTCTTCTTCGACAGTAGCTTTTTTTCAGGTGAAACGTCTTCAGCAGCGTATTTTGTTCCA